TGAAAGTTTGTACGTTTTTACAATAATTTATAATGCGTACAATATTATTGTGTTTTTGGATTATTTGTGTAATAAAATTCACTGAACAGTGGAGATTTGATTTTACATAAATTTGAATGCAAACAAACAATTTTTAAGCACACTCACTCATATATGCATATTGTAAGTTTGTATATGTATGTCTATTCAGTATTTTCTATTTCAATTCAAAACAATTCCACTCGAACTCTTTTATTCTTTTTGTTAAAAAGCAGTGTGAAAGGATTGGGAAATTAAAATGTACTAACTACAATACAAAGTACTATTTGAAGAACAAGAACATAAATAGAACTGAATTAGAATTGAACTAGAACTGGCTTAGAACTGAACAAGAACTGAACTAGAACTGAACTAGAACTGAACTAGAACTGAACTAGAATTGAACTAGAACTGAACTAGAATTGAACTAGAACTGAACTAGAACTGAACTAGAACTGAACTAGAACTGAACTAGAACTGAACTAGAACTGAACTAGAACTGAACTAGAACTGAACTAGAACTGAACTAGAACTGAACTAGAACTGAACTAGAACTGAAACTAGAACTGAACTAGAACTGAACTAGAACTGAACTAGAACTAGAACTGAACTAGAACTGAACTAGAACTGAACTAGAACTGAACTAGAACTGAACTAGAACTGAACTAGAACTGAACTAGAACTGAACTAGAACTGAACTAGAACTGAACTAGAACTGAACTAGAACTGAACTAGAACTGAACTAGAACTGAACTAGAACTGAACTAGAACTGAACTAGAAATGAACTAGAACTGACTAGAACTGAACTAGAACTGAACTAGAACTGAACTAGACTGAACTAAACTGAACTAGACTGAACTAGAACTGAACTAGAACTGAACTAGAACTGAACTAGAACTGAACTAGAACTGAACTAGAACTGAACTAGAACTGAACTAGAACTGAACTAGAACTGAACTAAACTGAACTAGAACTGAACTAGAACTGAACTAGAACTGACTAACTGAACTAGAACTGAACTAGAACTGAACTAGAACTGAACTAGAACTGAACTAGAACTGAACTAGAACTGAACTAGAACTGAACTAGAACTGAACTAGAACTGAACTAGAACTGAACTAGAACTGAACTAGAACTGACTAGAACTGAACTAGAACTGAACTAGAACTGAACTAGAACTGAACTAGAACTGAACTAGAACTGAACTAGAACTGAACTAGACTGAACTAGAACTGAACTAGAACTGAATAGAACTGAACTAGAACTGAACTAGAACTGAACTAGAACTGAACTAGAACTGAACTAGAACTGAACTAGAACTGAACTAGAACTGAACTAGAACTGAACTAGAACTGACTAGAACTGAACTAGAATGAACTAGAACTGAACTGAACTGAACTAAACTAGAACTGAACTAGAAATGAACTGACTAGAACTGAACTAGAACTGAACTAGACTGAACTAGAACTGAACTAGAACTGAACTAGAACTGAACTAGAACTGAACTAGAACTGAACTAGAACTGAACTAGAACTGAACTAGAACTGAACTAGAACTGAACTAGAACTGAACTAGAACTAGAACTGAAATAGAACTGATTTTAATTGAAGCAAATTAATAAAATATAATAAAACAGAAGAAAATAGAATCCTATGGGAACACCGAGTAGCTATATTTTGTACTCAATTTAGTACCATTTTAAAAAACGCAGATCTCAAGCGAAATTTTAGCTTTTTAGTTCTGTATCTGCTTATATGTGTACGTGTGTAGCTGTGTCCTTATAGAATAGTGTGTAAAATACAATGTCAATGTTTCCTTTTCAATGATTCTTTGCATTGTTCACGAGTATTGTGTTTTTTTGTCCTTTTTCTGATATTTTTTTGTTGGTTTTGCCAGTTTAACAAATCATTTATTTTCAACTCATAGAAATTTTTGTTTATATACATATGTATGTATGTAAGTATGTGTTTGTTTGGCTGCTTTGTTTGTCTTTCGAAAGGGGGTGTGAACGTGTTTTGTTTGTATGTATTAATATCATTGTCATTTCACCCAATTGTTGTACATGAATTCACACTTTTGAACAATTGAAATTGTCACTAAAATAAAACTTAAGATTTATTTCGCTTACATATTTACATTGAAGATTTTTCATTTTCCTGTTGTTTTTTTGCACAACATTCAAATTTGATGTTGTTGTTTTTACAGAGGAAGTGTTAATTGTTTGCAAAATGTTGTAAGAGAAAACAATGTTGACAGTTGTTGTTATTTTGGATGGTATTACTTACAAGGGTGAAATATTTGCTATATTTACAGGACTTTAGGGATATTTTACTAATTTGGAGATGTTAAAGTGTTACTCTTTATATTTCTGCATGGTTGAAGTAATTGAATCTGTAATAAATGTACATATTTTCAAGTAATAAAAGAAAGATTTGTTTAAGAGCTTTAAAAATGACAAATTCCCAATATTTTTTGGATAAAATTTTAGAACAAAACCAAAAAGTTATTTTTTTTTAAATTTAATATTACAATTTTCTGGTTTTCCATAGAAAATTTTATATTTTTTTCACAAAAAAAAAAAAAAAAAAAAAATAAACAAATACACTTTTATGTGCATGCATCAAATTGATGAAGCACTATAAAAATATTAGAGAGGAGCATTCATACTGTCATCAAAAAAAAATAATAAAATGGAACCACAATAGCAACATAAAAATAGGTAAAAGCTTTATTTGTTTTTTATAAAAACAAATAGAAAAATATAAAAAATTTTATCCTTTGATGTGAACAGATGAATGTAAATTGTTATTGTGGCGATTGATGCATCCAGCCACAAGTAGTTGCAAGTATCTAGAGATCAAAGTTGAAAAGGATATGCAACAAACGAAATATTTATACAGGTGCATGCATTTTTTAAATGGAAAACTGAATGAAAAATTTAAATAAATTTCAAACGATTTGGTTAAAAATTCCCCCTATAAATCTATTAAACAATTAACATTTTACATCAAAGTTTCTGAGCGTTTCAAATTCCCTGTAAATGTTTCTAATGCTTTTCAATTTTTTTACTATTATTGTTAACGTTGTTCATAAATATGAATTGTTACTTCCATTAGAATATGTTACATTTAGATGATATATAATAGATCATACATATATATTTCAAGAATGACACAAAAATAAAACATTATTTATAAGGAATTCAAATAATAAATACATTAGCCTGCTTCAAAAAATGTATATCCCTAAAAACAGAACTAGAACAGAACTAGAACAGAACTAGAACAGAACTAAAGACAGAACAGAACTAGAACAGAACTAGAACAGAACTAGAACAGAACTAGAACAGAACTAGAACAGAACTAGAACGAACTAGAACAAACTAGAACAGACTAGAACAGAACTAGAACAGAACTAGAACAGAACTAGAACAGAACTAGAACAGAACTAGAACAGAACTAGAACAGAACAGAACTAGAACAGAACTAGAACAGAACTAGAACAGAACTAGAACAGAACTAGAACAGAACTAGAACAGAACTAGAACAGAACTAGAACAGAACTAGAACAGAACTAGAACAGAACAGAACAGAAACAGAACAGAACTAGAACTAGAACTAGAACAGAACAGACATAGCTAGAACAGAACTACAACAGAACTAGAACAACTAGAACAGAACTAGAACAGAACTAGAACAGACTAGAACAGAACTAGAACGAACTAGAACTGAACTAGAACAGAACTAGAACAGAACTAGAACAGAACTACAGAACAGAACAGATAGAACAGCACTAGAACAGAACTAGAACAGAACTAGAACAGAACTAGAACAGAACTAGAACAGAAGTAGAACAGAACTAGAACAGAACGGAACAGAACTAGAACTAGAACAGAACTAGAACAGAACAGAACAGAACTAGAACAGACTAGAACAGAACTAGAACAGAACTAGAACAGAACTAGAACAGAACTAGAACAGAACTAGAACAGAACTAGAACAGAACAGAACTAGAACAGAACTAGAACAGAACTAGAACAGAACTAGAACAGAACTAGAACACAACTAGAACTAGAACAGAACTAGAACAGAACTAGAACAGAACTAGAACTAGAACAGAACTAGAACAGAACTAGAACAGAACTAGAACAGAACTAGAACAGAACTAGAACAGAACTAGAACAGAACTAGAACAGAAGAACAGAACTAGAACAGAACTAGAACAGAACTAGAACAGAACTAGAACAGAACTAGAACAGAACTAGAACAGAACTAGAACAGAACTAAAACTAGAACAGAACTAGAACAGAACTAGAACAGAACTAGAACAGAACTAGAACAGAACTAGAACAGAACTAGAACAGAACTAGAACAGAACTAGAACAGAACTAGAACAGAACTAAACAGAACTAGAACAGAACTAGAACTAGAACAGAACTAGAACAGAACTAGAACAGAACTAGAACAGAACTAGAACGAACTAGAACAGAACAGAACTAGAACAGAACTAGAACAGAACTAGAACAGAACTAGAACAGAACTAGAACAGAACTAGAACAGAACTAGAACAGAACTAGAACTAGAACTAGAACAGAAAAACTAGAACAGAACTAGAACAAACTAATGAACTAGAACAGAACTAGAACAGAACTAGAACCGAACTAGAACAGAACTGCATTAATACATCAGACAAATGTATATTCAGAACTAGTACTAAAGAATTATCAAACAACAACAAAGAAATTTTTAACATAAAAAGGTATTTTATATTTAAATATCTTCAATTTATCTAATGAAATCAGCTTTTACATTAGGGCCGTTAAAATAGTAGCGGGTAACATTGACCTATACGAGTAAGATTCAGGGTTAAAGTAATATTTCAAGTGCTTTGCTATTGAAATTGATATATAAACAAACATACATATGTTTGAGTGTATATTGACCATTATTTTAATTAATTAAAGCTACCTTTAGGTACTTACTTATCAGCAGTTGAATTCTCCTTATAAAATTGACTGCATAAAGAAAAATCAATACACTTGACCTTTATCCAAGATGATGATGAGAAAAAGCAGCAGCAGCCAGCAAACAAAACAACAACTTAAAATGTTCCAATACAAGGTTTTACAGTAGATTTTCACTGAAACCTCTTGAAATTGAGCTGGAAAAGAATGAAAAAAGAACAGAATTGAAAAAAATAATCAAACAACAAATACTTGTCATAGAAATCTGAAAACAAACAAAAAAATTGTAGAGAACTCTTCAAAGCTTTTAGAAAAAAAAAAAAAAAAAATACTGTGTAGAAAAACTTGTTATACATACATATACATACATATTAGAACACATAATAAAAAAAAACACAATAGTGATTCCTTGATAATAAAAAAAAATCCTATGAAAAAGTATTGTAATAATAAAAAATATTTTTCCAGCAGCTATAACATACCATTCAGTATTTTTCTATATTTTATTTGAAAAAAAAAAAAAAACTTAAATATATTTTATATTGAAAAAACTGCCTTTATATTTGCATATAAACAATATATTGAAAAAGTAAATAATGAAAGTAAGACTCTTTGTTCATTAGGAGGGCGCCAAATTCAACTATTTATATGCCTTATTCTATGATATCAAAATTATTTGGTGCACATAGCTACTGAAACAGTTAACTGTTGGTTAATTCTAGTTTAAAAATCATGCCAAAAAGTTTTCATCTCAGGTGAAAAAAGTTATTTTTATTTCAAAGAACACCACCTTAATATTCGTATGTAAATATACGTAGAAATTACCTTCTTTGATGTCAATGAAGCCTCTGAAAACAAAAATCATAATAACAATCAAGCTACATGTGGGTGATACCCATATTAAATGGCACAGTGGGGCATAAGTTGTGATTAACAAAGTACAAAATTCCGACTAATTAATTTAACAAATTATTACACATTTGTTCTTTTATTTCTTAGTCATCGCAATAAATCTATAGTGAAGTTATTACTTCTTTTATTTATGCTAAGATTGCCTTTAGGCCTACTGTGCTTTCACATTTTGGTACTTATACAACTTCATAGACCATTTTACAAACACATGTGATACCATGGTTTCGTAAATTTTTTTTAATGTCAACAACTTGTATAGAAATAAATTTAAATATTACTGTGTATCTTTACAATTTTTTAGTTTTAGTTTGAAAAAGTTTTTCTTTAAGAGAGTGTTACGCATTTATATTATAGATACTAGAACTGAACTAGAATTGAACTAGAACTGAACTAGAACTAAAGTGAACTAGAACTGAACTAGAACTGAACTAGAACTGAACTAGAACTGAACTAGAACTGAACTAGAACTGAACTAGAACTGAACTAAACTAGAATGAACTAGAACTGAACTAGAACTGAACTAGAACTGAACTAGAACTGAACTAGAACTGAACTAGAACTGAACTAGAACTGAACTAGAACTGAACTAGAACTGAACTAGAACTGAACTAGAACTGAACTAGAACTGAACTAGAACTGAACTAGAACTGAACTAGAACTGAACTAGAACTGAACTAGAACTGAACTAGAACTGAACTAGAACTGAACTAGAACTGAACTAGAACTGAACTAGAACTGAACTAGAAACTGAACTAGAACTGAACTAGAACTGAACTAGAACTGAACTAGAACTGAACTAGAACTGAACTGAACTAGAACTGAACTAGAACTGAACTAGAACTGAACTAGAACTGAACTAGAACTGAACTAGAACTGAACTAGAACTGAACTAGAACTGAACTAGAACTGAACTAACTGAACTAGAACTGAACTAGAACTAGAACTAGAACTGAACTAGAACTAGAACTGAACTAGAAACTGAACTAGAACTGAACTAGAACTGAACTAGAACTGACTAGAACTGAACTAGAACTGAACTAGAACTGAACTAGAACTGAACTAGAACTGAACTAGAACTGAACTAGAACTGAACTAGAACTGAACTAGAACTGAACTAGAACTGAACTAGAACTGAACTAGAACTGAACTAGAACTGAACTAGAACTGAACTAGAACTGAACTAGAACTGAACTAGAACTGAACTAGAACTGAACTAGAACTGAACTAGAACTGAACTAGAACTGAACTAGAACTGAACTAGAACTGAACTAGAACTGAACTAGAACTGAACTAGAACTGAACTAGAACTGAACTAGAACTGAACTAGAACTGAACTAGAACTGAACTAGAACTGAACTAGAACTGAACTAGAACTGAACTAGAACTGAACTAGAACTGAACTAGAACTGAACTAGAAACTGAACTAGAACTGAACTAGAACTGAACTAGAACTGAACTAGAACTGAACTAGAACTGAACTAGAACTGAACTAGAACTGAACTAGAACTGAACTAGAACTGAACTAGAACTGAACTAGAACTGAACTAGAACTGAACTAGAACTGAACTAGAACTGAACTAGAACTGAACTAGAACTGAACTAGAACTGAACTAGAACTGAACTAGAACTGAACTAGAACTGAACTAGAACTGAACTAGAACTGAACTAGAACTGAACTAGAACTGAACTAGAACTGACTAGAACTGAACTAGAAGCTGAACTAGAACTGAACTAGAACTGAACTAGAACTGAACTAGAACTGAACTAGAACTGAACTAGAACTGAACTAGAACTGAACTAGAACTGAACTAGAACTGAACTAGAACTGAACTAGACTGAACTAGAACTGAACTAGAACTGAACTAGAACTGAACTAGAACTGAACTAGAACTGAACTAGAACTGAACTAGAACTGAACTAGAACTGAACTAGAACTGAACTAGAACTGAACTAGAACTGAACTAGAACTGAACTAGAACTGAACTAGAACTGAACTAGAACTGAACTAGAACTGAACTAGAACTGAACTAGAACTAGAACTGAACTGAGACTAGAACTGAACTAGAACTGACTAGAACTGAACTAGAACTGAACTAGAACTGAACTAGAACTGAACTAGAACTGAACTAGAACTGAACTAGAACTGAACTAGAACTGAACTAGAACTGAACTAGAACTGAACTAGAACTACGAACTGAACTAGAACTGAACTAGAACTGAACTAGAACTGAACTAGAACTGAACTAGAACTGAACTAGAACTGAACTAGAACTGAACTAGAACTGAACTAGAACTGAACTAGAACTGAACTAGAACTGAACTAGAACTGAACTAAACTGACTAGAACTGAACTAGAACTGAACTAGAACTGAACTAGAACTGAACTAGAACTGAACTACTAGAACTGAACTGCTAACTAGAACTGGAACTGACGAACTGAACTAGAACTGATAGACTAGGATGAACTGAACTAGAACTGAACTAGAACTGAACTAGAAACTGAACTAAACTGAACTAGAACTGAACTAGAACTGAACTAGAACTGAACTAAACTAGAACTGAACTAGAACTGAACTAGACTGAACTAGAACTGAACTAGAACTGAACTAGAACTGAACCAGAACTGAGGTAAAACAAAACTTAATTCCTTTTTTTTCAATAAAAGTTAATGAATGTAATTTTTGATTTACTTATACATACATATATAGTTACATACATTATTTATTTTTGACAATGTATTGAAATTTATTTTGAAAATGCATAGAGTGTTGCAATTCTAAATGCGCATATAAATATCAAGTTTAAATTACATTTAGAGAGACAACAAAAGAGTAAAATAACTATATGACCCCAATAAAAAGTCTCAAATATTAAGTCATAAATTCGTGCACTCTACCTCAAGCTGTTAAAAATATAGCTATATTGTTATATTTCTTACCAAAATCTGCCCATCCGTTAAATGTACTAGAAGTAAGTTCTAGGACCAATCACTAGGACAAGTTCTACATCAGTTTCTTCCTCTATAAAGAAATATTTAAAAGCCTATAGAATATTTAACATTTATGAACCGCTACTTAAAACTTAGATGTAGATCTTCTCTGAATCGTTGCAGATCAACATAAAGTTTCTTATTAGTATTCATATCGTCTTTTGTATGTTTTTGTTATAATTATGTGAGAATTGAATTGAATGCATAATCTTTTATACAACAACAAACGCATATAGTTTATACATAAGTTGGTAGTTGTTTTTTTTTTGTATTTGTGTAACTGATGCAATGCATCCGATGATGCTACTGCTGTAGCTTGGCTTGTTTTGCTGTCTGTTAAGGATGATGTGTTGTTAAGTTTTAAAAACTCACATAAATTTATGTTAAAACTTTAATGTTGCTGCTGTTGTTGTTATTGTTTCTGTTGAATTTTTATAATGTGTTTAAGACAACAAGCAAACAAAACAAAACAAAGCAATACAAAAGACAGACAGACAGACAGTCATACAACTTGCCGTCGTCGCATCAGTAGCAACAAAACAAAGTTCGTGCGAATTTTTGCTACATGAAGTTTTTTGTTTGCAACACAATTTTTTTGTTTTATAACTTGAACATTACAATGCAAGAAGTATTATTGTGGATGTGTATGGGTCCGTCTAAGTGTCTGAATGTGCAACATGAATTTTTATATGACTAAAAATGTTTTAATTTTTTCTATATTATAAAATATTTTATTATAACTTTTTTTGAGACTTAAACCCCCTTTTTCACCTAACTTCTGTAAGTGTTGTAATATTAATTTGGCGAAAATAATGATGAAAATATATTATTAAAGTATTTAATAAGCTACTGGAAAACTATAGCTACAAGTTTTTTTGAATATACTTTAATGTCAGCAGCACTTGTAATTAATGAGGGTATATATTTACATATGAGTTGTCACTTTGTATGCAAAACATGAAAATTGTAGCTTATTATACCCTATACCACTATACTGTATTATGCATTTGTGCTAATGTTTGTATTGGCTCCGTATCACTTTCTGGGTCAATTAACTATCCGTCTGTCTGTCCGTCTCGCTGTCTGTCTGTCTGTCTGTCTGTCTGTCCGTCTGGCTGTCTGTCTGTCTGTCTGTCTGTCTGTCTGTCTGTCTGTCTTTCTGTCCGTCCATCTGTATGCCCATGAAAATCATGTGTGCACGTTCAGTTCTAGTTCAGTTCTAGATCTAGTTCAGTTCTAGTTCAGTTTCAGTCTTCAGTTAGTTCAGTTCTAGTTCAGTTTCTAGTTCAGTTCTAG